CGGGGAGTCGCCTCTGCCCGGCCGGCTCACTTCTCCGCCAGCTCCGCCCCGCCGGGCAGCTTGGGCTCCTCGGAGGAAATGCTGTCCACGATGGAGGAGAGGCACCGCAGGCTGCTGGAGGCGGAGGAGTCCCCGGCGGAGCCCCCTGCTTGGGGACACAACAGAAAGAGAGAGGAGAGAGGCACAACGACACCAGCGCGGGCGAGCCTCGGCCTCGGGATATGCGCGTGGACACACGCGCGCACACACACACACTACAGCATCACGGGGAGCGGGGGGGGGGTGTGCGCGTGTGTGTGGAGGACGCAGTGGAGCACCACGAGAAGCAGGGGGGTGTCGGGAGGTGGGTGTGTATGTGTGTGTGGAGGACACACTGAAGCACCAGCAAGAGCAAGGGTGTGTGGGTGTGGGCGACGCACACACTAAAGCACCACGAGGAGCCGGGTGTGCGTGCGTGGGTGGTCGCGGGTGTGTAGGACACGCTGAAGCACCAGCAGGAGCAAGGATGTGGGGGGGGGTGCTCGTGTAGCGGACACACAGTGTGAAGCACCCCGAGAAGCAGAGCCCGGGGCGCCCCGGGGCCCCGCGCTGCACACCCCCACGTGAGCACGCACACGCACGCGCGCGCGCGCAGCTGCCCGTTACCTTCCCTGGGGCTGGCGGGCAGCGCTCGGGAATGCTCGGACAGGCGCTGCCACTCGGAGCCGCAGGTGCTGAGGAAGTCGGCGCCGGGGAGCTGAGCGGCCGGGCCGGGGGAGAGGAGGGAAGGCAGGATTAGCCGGGAGCCGGGAGCCCCCGCTGCCCTCCATGGCCCGCACGGCCCCGCTCCCCGCGGAGGGGCAGGCAGGCGGGGGGGGAGGGTCCGCACGGAGCTGGGGGGCAGCGCCGCGCTTACGTTTCCCTGCTTGGGGCTGAAGCCGAAGGGCTCTCCCCCCATGTCCTGCAGCTTCTCCTGCTGATCTAGCCTGTGCAGCAGGTCCTGCAGCCGCTCGATGTAGCTGATGGCGCTCCTCAGGATCTCCACCTTGGGCAGGCGCTGGTTGGGGTTGGCCACGGTCCTCCTTTTCAGAGCCTCGAAGGCTTCGTTGATCTTCTTCAGCCGCCGCCTCTCCCGCAGGGTGGCCGCTTTCCTCCTGTCCGTGGGGGCCGACTTCCTCTTGCAGGTCTTGCAAGCCCAGATCAAGCACTGGCCGGGGCAGTGCGGGGGCTGCAGCCCCGGGGGGGCCAGGACGTGCTCTTCGCCACTGCTGTCGCTCCCGGCCTCCGGGGGCATTTGGTCCTGGCAGGGGGACAACGTGCCGTCGCTGCCCGGGTACAGGGGGGACCCCTCGGCCATCTCCAGCTGCTGCAGGGCTCCATTGTCGCCATCCAAGTAGAAGAAATAGGAGCCCGTCTCGAAAAGGTCCATCATCATGCTCTGCCCTCGGCCTCTCTGCCTCTTGCAGTGGGGTGAGAGGCTCAGAAAAGCCCCCGAAGGAATTTAATTAGTGCAGTGACATAAGTCTCCCTGCTTTATATATAGTAGCTGCTGAAACTCTATCCAACTTTTAGCTGTCGCGGTGCATCACCCTCCAAATCTGCTTCCAGCCAGTCCCCTGGGTGCTGTCCTGAGAACATCTCCTATTTAGAGAGAGCAGGGGAGCAGCCAGCCTGGCCCGAGGCTCCTTGCAGTGGGCAGCCCTGGCTGTGGGAACCGCACTGGACCGGGCGGGCAGGGGTCTGAGACAAAGCAGCAGGGCTTGCAGCTGAAACTCCCCTCCTCCCTTGGTGCTAAGTATAGAGCTCCACAGAGGGATTTCAAAGGCAACTCCAAATAGCCAGCTTAATATCTGCAGAGTCCCTGCTATTTTTTTTTTCCGCTTTCCAACATGCCATTCCTGTGACCCAAGACATTAGTGCCAACCCAAGGTTAGCAGGAGGGGTGCACATTTCTTGCAGGAAAGCTGCCCAGCAATAAACTTTGGCTTTCACCATTGGGCAGAGGCTCCTGGGTGGAGCACTACACGCTATTGCTAAGTTAAAAATAATGGAACTTTTGGATGTTGTTTGTACCTGGAGGGGACTTGAAGCAATGCAAAACTCTCAAACTCTTGATTCAGAGATGGTAGTCCAACTAAGAAATTGCAATTAAAAATATCTTTCTTCGCAAGCTTTTGGGCACACCCTTCTTCAGGCTGAGGGAAAATTAAAGATGGTAAAAGTCCCCCATAGGTAGAAAATAAAGTTTATTTGGAGGGAACTAAGACACAGTTATTGCTCCTCCAGGGAGCTGCGACTCTCTGAAAGGGGGCACATCCATTCAAAAGAGTTTTATCAATCAGACTTAGGCTCATGTCCTAGCTGCCTCAACCCACTGCAGCACATGAGAGATGCAGCATCGCATTTAGCTGAACTCATTTATAGTTTGTAGATATTTCCAATAAAACATGGGGGAAAAATGAGACACCTAAGCAAGCCCATGAATACAGGCTAACCAAACCAATTAAATACCCTGCAGAATCAATCCCTTTCACTTCTGTTAATTTCTCCCGTGCTATAATGGAACTGATCCTGATCAGCAGAAACACTGTAAACTGATTCTTCCACTGATATTAGAGGCTCAATGGGATTTTTTAAACTAAATTTTGCAAGATTAGGCTACATATTTGCCCTAATAAGTCATGATGCCATCTGGTTTTGAATGAAACAAGAAACGCTTAGATGTTCAATTTAATACTTTCAACATAAATTATAATGTAGGGGGTCTAGGAAAATTATTGTGGTGTGATTTTTAGCTAGTAGATGCTTAGTATCTCTTCCTTGGATCGCAGAAATGTGGAAGAGGCTGTTGAGGGCCAGACACAGGAACACTTAGAGATAATGTGGCTGATGAATAGCAAGTGATTTTAGTCTGTTCTCTCTGCCTTTTCCCCCTTTAGATGTCTTGCAGTTTTATCATAAACATTATAACAATGCTCCCAAGTGGACATACAGTTTGTTTTTGCTTATTACTACTTTGACTTGAGGTGAATGATTTTAATAGGAATTTCAAAGATATTTTCAATAAAAAAATGTTACAAAATACTTTATAGAAAACAGAAAGTTTGCTAATGTCCATAGTTGTTCTTAAATATTGTTGCAGGTAAAAACAATTTTAAGCTAAATGAATTCCAGTCTAAAAAATATGACTACTGTACAACTAGCTATCTGGGCGGTTGAATGATCACGGCCTTGAACTGAGTAATCAGCAGCTAGGAAGGAGACCAGCAAAGACTGCACCCAGCCTCACACAGGTGACAGAGTCAATGCCTCAAGCTGTCAATAGTGTTACCACTGAACAGTGTGGAAGAACATTCTGAGATTGATCTAGGATAGTGGTTCTCAACCTTTTAGACTTAAGGCATACCTCAGAAATCATTAGACATTAGCTTTCACTCTCTCTCTCTCTACTTTGGACAAATTATAAAGCAATTGTTTGGTTGCGAAGAACTCAGAAAGGCCACAACAGGTCACAATGTTTTTGACACTATGGATACATGTTTTAAATCTCTGGGTTTATCTTATGAATCACATACAGGTGTTTACACACCCAACAGTACTAATATTGCATGGCACTCTGGTTGAGATTCACTGTTATTTGAGGGCTAATAGCATGGATACAGTTGTTATATCATTGCTTGCTGTCTGCACTGGAACCATACGAGTGGTGATTGATGTGATGACGTGACAGATAGCCTTTCTCCTAGCAGGTGCCATGAAATGGTGCTGTGATCAACTGTGCACCACAGTGAACCTTTTAATGTGTGTAGGGTGCGTCCCAGGGCATCCAAACAGTGGGTAGCCTGTCAAATTCCTCTAAGCAAGTCAGCTGCTCCTACTGATGTCAATAGGAGTTCTTGAGTAAAAGAAGAAACAAAAGACCAAGCCATCCCATCCTCCAGCAGTTATTTACTGGGAGTAAGAGACAACTGTTCTAGTACCTCACTATAAAACAGGGCCAAAATATATACGTATGCTATTGAGGGGGAAGTTCAGCTTAAGCAAAAAGTGTCAAATTTGATCTGAAAGCACGTCCCATTTGGTTTGAAATTTGCTATAACCAACACCATAATTCTCTCTCTCTCACACACACAATTGCAAGCAATGAGTGTTGGAATACAGCAAGATAACTCTAATGGTACTGCCTAGTATTATAATAGAAGAAGCCAAAGTTGAGTGCTCATTCAGTTTCTACTTACAGGCTATTTTCCCTCTGTGCTTCACTTCATAATCTACTGGATCCAAATTAAGACACCAGACTTCGGGGGACACCAAGAAAGGGAAACCGAGAACTCATAGTTTATATTTTAATCTTTATTTTTTAAATTTTGTAATATTTTTATATTTTAATAGGAAGCTAGGGCATGGGATCTATAGGCCAGGATCTCTTGGGTCATCAAGTCCCAAGGGTGATTAATGAAGAATGCCATAAGTAACCTCCTAATAGTTCCCCCTTCAGCACAACCTGTTTCATCCTCTCCAGTTAAGTCCTTAGTCACTTTACTCAGCACAACTGGATTCATTCTGTATAGCCAGTTCCTTACATGCTTTACGGTTCTTGTACCAATCTCCCATCTTTTCCAGCTGAACTAATACTTTCCCATATGGCATCATATCACATGCTTTACTGAAGGTCAGACAGAACAGATCCACCACATTTTCCTCAGCTAGAAAATACGTTATCACATCACAGAACTAGACCAGGGTTAATCTGGCATGACCTACATTTGGTAACACTCTTTTCATTTTATCCTATTTTCAATTTATCTTAAATTATTATTTCCTTCAAAAGTTGCTCTTATATCTCACATACTATTGTGGTCAGATAAATGGGTTTGTCATTGCACAGAAACATTTTTCTTCTTTCTTTAAAAGGGGTCTTACATTTGCTATACTCCTAGCAGAAGGCATCACTCCCCAATTTGACAGATTATTACAAAACTCTTGCTACCAGACCTGCAAGTTTCTTGACCAATCTGACCTAAGTATATTAAGTTATCTGATGTTTGTATCTCTTCAGCTCTGGTCATTTCCATACCCTCATTCACATTAGTCCCCATTATCAACATCAACCATCCTTATTACAAATTGAGGCAAAATCTTAATTTATTTTTTGAACCACCCTTAAAATATCTTTACTTTCTATCCTATTCTCACTACATAGCAGATCTGTTTTTTGTCTTTTTTATTTATATAACTAAATAATATTTATTTATAAAACTAAATAATATTCTTTTTTTATTTATATAACTAACTAATATTTTATTGTTTATCTTTTATTATTATCTTGACATTTCCTTTTCAAGTTCTAACTCTTTTGACTTTTAGCAATTCTTATTTTATCTCTGCACTTTCTGACCTCCAAAATGGCCACTTTGCAGTGAGGACATAAGGTAAATCATTTGACTGAGAAGAGAAAATCCTGAAAATCTTTACTAAACTCCCACCTACTGGGCCGGGAAAGACAGACCAGTGCTCCACAATTAACTGAGAAAGAATCATATAGTTGCTCAGCTTACTTCTGTGTTAAGAGCCACAGGGCATACCTTCAGAAGTCCTAATGACACACAGGGGGAAGCAGGGCATTAGGGAGGATCCAGGATCTGCCTTCACAGTGAGGCAGCTCATACACTATCCAGTCTAGCTCAGTGGCTCCAACCTGGATGCTATCACCTGAGCTAAGTCTCTAGTGAAGACATGTCTACAGATGTAGCAAAATAACACAAACCTTTTGAATGCTTATGCTGTGCCAATGTAAAGCGACACAGTAATTTGATAAACTTTACTACTGTAAACCCCACTTTATGCCAGTGCCTCCTGTTTACCCTAGGGGCCTACACAAGTATTAAGTGCATAGTCCATTAGTTCAAACATCTGTAGGGTAAATTAGACCTTCAGCTTTATATGCACATTTACAGTACTCAATATGAGAATATAAAATATTCCACTGAATCATCACAATAATCTAAATGACTAACAAAGGATAATTTGATATTGTTAAAACACCTTTCTAGGATGATATGTAGCCTTCAGAGATGACCGTCAGAGAAAGTGGCCCTTATCTTTTTATGTTTGCAATCATATATATATTACACACACACAGTTTCTTTGCACTATAAGATGGGAGCTTATTGTATTACACCCAATAAAGGATGCAACATGTCTATTAATTAGCTCTGACAAAACTATAATCGATACCAGAAATAGTAAGTGTAATCAGAGAACACCACCACATTTAAAAAAAATCATAAATGACATTGTAGATGTTTTCCTTTTAAATATTTAGAAGGCTTCCATCTCCATGTACACAACACTTGGCAGCTATCTTTGTTGTAAACATCAGAAGAAAGAAATACCCACAACTATTCTGTATGTTTATAAAGCTTAGTTTTACTGACAAGCACCCATTGGTTTAAGTATAGAAACATTGCTCAAAATGGAAGGACACAAAAGTAGCAGTGTTCTCCAAGCTCCACCCATTTGACACAGAAGCCAAAATAA